GGGTCTCCTTGGGTTGTTCTGATTGTTGCAATTAGAGTGAATCAGAATCAGCTCCAATTGCGTTGTCCTCCCACTTGTTCTTGGTCACGATGAGTATCAGGAGTTGACGGGAAGAAGATGACAACACCAGTTTCTTGAGAAGGAATTTTGTTTATCAGGTGGAGAATGACTCTGTAAAAAYGGATTTGGGTTTTCTTTAGTGGTGTCTGCTTCCCTGAGGAGACTCCACCTCATTTGGGAGGGCAGGAGACCCCTCAGACCGCAAGGATCCCTCTGTCCCAAGTTTTCCCACATCAAGTGAGCCCAGATCCCAAATCCTCCAACATTCCTGGTGCTGGAAGCTGCAGCCCCACTCTGTCCTCCCTTGGGACGGTCCCACCAAGGACACCCAGCCCTGGCACAGTCCAAAGCTTGGGTTGGCAGTGCCACCCCCGTGGAAGGGCTCAAGGACAGCACAAGGTCACACATTTCATCAGTCCCCAGCAGGGACACAAAACTTGTTGAAAACAACATGGGAGCAATCAAAGCAATCTGATCCCGGTCTTTATCTGCTCCTGCAGCACCAGGACATGGCACAGCCCCACACCAGTGACCCCTCCAGCCGCAGGGCTTGGGCCCATTGTCCTGGTGACAGATTTGGTGACACTGATCTCTGCCAGGCTTTGTAATGTTTGTCCATCGCTGTTGATCTGAGATTGGCAGGGGAGAGGAACAGGGTATAAAAGGGCAGAGAGGCTGAGCCCGTCAGTCCTGGTCCAAGATGGCCAAGCTCACTCTGCTCACCGGTGAGTGCTGCTGTGACCTGGAGCTCTGTGCCCTCCTGCCCAGGGCTGGTGGCTTTGGCACTGTCACTCTGCTGCCTGGGGAGGGGGACGGAGGTGTAAAAATGCTGCTTTGGAGGGGTGAAAATGCTGTTTCGAGGGGTGAAAATGCTGCTTTGGAGGGGTAAAAATGCTGCTTTGGAGGGATGAAAATACTGCTTTTTCCTTTCTGTTCAGGATTTCACAATTTCTCTTTGGGAGAGGGAGTTCTCTTCTTTAGCAATAGAGTTCTTGATCCGTTCTGCTTTGAACATGAATAGAGTCCACCGCAGGCTGGAACTGAAATGTGCTTTTGAACAGAAATCTAACAATCAAATGACTGCTTTGCCATTGTGTGGTGCCTTTCCTCTGCTTTTACCTGAAATGATTTGACAAATTTGAGCCTCTTTACTCAAAACCCTCACCTGCCTCAGCTTGGGAGCAGAGCATAGCAGGAGACCTGTGCATTTCTGAGAGCCAACGGTGACCTCTTTCTTGTTTCCTTGTGCCCTGCCAGGCCTGGCCCTGCTGCTGCTCAACGCCCACGTCGGTAGGTGCTTCTTCCCCAAAATAACTTCCCCAAACCCTTCCCAGGCACATCCAGCCTGCACAGAGCCTTCCCCCATCCCAGCCCTGCTGCAGAGATCCCAGCTGATTCCCGGGGCAGGAAGGGTCTGTTTGGGGCACAGACCCTGAGCCGGGAGCTGAAGGGCACCGCAGGCTCCGGGACTGAGCCATCCCCAGGGACAGAGGAGGAAGGCTCCGGGCCCAGAGCTGTCCTGGGGAGCCTGGCAGTGTCCGAGCAATGCCCAGCCCCACTGCCCCGGCCCTGAGCTCTGCCCCACACGGGGAGCCCGTGCCCGGCCCTTTGGCCACGCCGTGCCCGCGGTGCCCGGGCTGTGTCCGGCGCCTGCAGCCCCTCCGTGTGCCGTGTCCCCACAGGCACTGCCTATGTGCTGACCTGTTACTTCACCAACTGGGCCCAGTACCGGCCTGGCGAGGGCAAATTCACCCCCGACAACATCGACCCCAACCTGTGCACTCACCTGATCTACGCCTTCGCCGGCATGAACAACAACGAGATCACCACCTACGAGTGGAACGATGAAACGCTCTACAAATCCTTCAACGGCCTCAAGAACCAGTGAGTGCTGAGAGCTCTGGCCAGGGCTGATCCTCCTCTAGGGCTGGGCAGGGCAGGACAGGGGGACAGTGGTGTCCCCTGAGCTCAGGAACAGCAGCTCCAGGCTCTGCCCATTGGCTCCTGGCCTTTGCCACCAAAAGGACCAAGCCTGCAAAGGCCACGGTGACACCAAAGCCTGGGGGTCACTGTGGTTCCAATTACTTCCCTTGCAGGAACAGGAATCTGAAGACCCTGCTGGCCATYGGAGGATGGAATTTCGGCACACAGAAGTGAGTTCAGAGCAGCTCTTTCCCCGAAAGGCTCCCAGCAATGGGAGGGAGGAAAGGAAGCGGCTCCAATTTCACCCCAACGCTGTCCTGCTCTGCTGTCCAGGTTCACCACCATGGTCTCCACACCCCAGAACCGCCAGACCTTCATCAACTCCGTGGTCAGGTTCCTGCGCCAGTACGGCTTTGATGGGCTGGACCTGGACTGGGAATACCCCGGCTCCCGGGGCAGCCCCGCCCAGGACAAGGCTCTCTTCACCGTCCTGGTCAAGGTGGGCTGGGCTCCCGGCCCTGCTGGGCTCTGAGGGGCTGCAAAGGCTCGGCCCCAGCCCGCAGGTGACTCCTGTCCCTGGGATCCTGCAGGAAATGCTGGCAGCCTTCGAGCAGGAAGCCCGGCAGAGCAACCGGCCCCGGCTCATGGTCACCGCTGCTGTGGCCGGAGGACTGTCCACCATCCAGGCTGGCTACGAGATCGCTGAGCTGGGCAAGTGAGTGGCAAAGCCTGGGGTCAGTGGTGGGGCTGGGGTGGGATCCTGCAAAGGAAAGCCCCAGAGAGCCCCTGAGGGAGCCCCACGTGCAGGAGGAGTGGCCATGGCCAGGACTGGGGTGACCGGCCACCCTCGGCTCTGGTGGCCCCAGTCAGGACATGGCCCCGCTGCCCGCAGGTACCTGGATTACATCCACGTGATGACCTACGACTTCCACGGTCCCTGGGACGGCTCCACGGGCGAGAACAGCCCCCTGTTCAGTGCCGGCAGCACCCTCAGTGTTGTGAGTGCCTTTGGGGCCGCCATCTCTGGGCTCCTGTTCCCGACAGCCCGGCCTGGCCCTGACCCACCCCGGCTCTTGCAGGAATACGCCATGAACTACTGGAAGAACAACGGTGCCCCCGCTCAGAAGCTGCTGGTGGGATTCCCGACCTACGGGAAAACCTTCACCCTGCAGAACCCGTCCAACACCGCCATTGGGGCACCGACCTCCGGCCCTGGCCCTGCTGGACCCTACACCGGGGAGGCCGGGCTCCTGGCTTACTACGAGGTGCGTGTGGAGCCCGCACCGGGCACTGTGGCAGTCCCAGCACAGAATTCCCAACCCGTCCCGCTGTCCCACGTTCCGTTTCCCCAGCCCCTCGCTCACTGTCCCGTTGTGCCCTTTTTCCAGATCTGCAGCTTCCTGAACTCCGGAGCCACCCAGGCCTGGGATGCCCCCGAGGACGTGCCCTACGCCTACAAGGGCAGCGAGTGGATCGGCTACGACAACGTCAAGAGCTTCAACCTCAAGGTCTGGGGGCAGCGGGGCCGTGCCGGGCCGGGGCCGGGGCCGGGGCAGCCGCGGGCTTTGGCGGCTCCCGGCGCTCACCRGGATTTGCCGCGGCTCCCCACAGGTGCAGTGGCTGAAGCAGAACAACTTTGGAGGCGCCATGGTCTGGACCATCGACCTGGATGACTTCAGYGGCTCCTTCTGCCACGAGGGCAAATTCCCGCTGATCTCCACGCTCAAGAAGGGGCTGGGGCTGTGAAGGCGCCGTGAGTGGCTCGGGGGGGATGCGGGGTCGGGGCCCTTCCAGCAGCTCCGGAGGCTGTGGGGCTGGGAATGGTCTGGGGCCCTGCAGGGAGGGAGGCAGGGAGGAGGGGGCATTACAAACATCATCCCTGCCCCAAGRAAAATCCCGCTTTCTTTCCAGACTGCTGGACCTTTGGCCAGCGCTGTCCTGTTGTCCCTGTGGCTCCTGCGGGTGCAGGTGGGAGTGGGAGCACAGGAGGAGCCACAGCGGCGATTGTGGGGCCTGGCCTTGAAGATCCTGATCCCGTTCCAACCCATCAATCTCCTTGATCCAATTGCACACAATAAGAATTAAATAAAGCTTTCTGCAAAACCAACAGCTTCGTGTTTCGGCTCATTTCATCCTTGTTGCTTCCTGATTCTGTCAAGACAATCAAACATTTGTTTTCAGGGAAGGCCTTGGATTCCATCCCAGCCCAGCACTTTCCAGGAGTTTTTTTGCTGCCCTACCTTGGCAGCAGCTTGGTAACCGAGGGAGGAATTGTTGTCACCTCCCCAGGCCTGTGACATCACGACCTCAGGCTGCTGCCAGCACCGCACATTCCACAGGGAAATGCTGAATTCTGGGTTTTTCCAGACCCCCTCCTTCATTCGCCATCCCCCTGCTCTGCACCCGTAACAACGGGAGCACGCTGAGCATATCCCGGGGAGCTCCGGCAGGGCAGGATGGCTGCAGGGCACGACCTGAAAGGTGAGAGCTGGGCGAGGCAGGGGCACCCATGGGGCTGTTGGGGTGGCATCGGCTTCCCCAGTGATCCTCCACCACATGGCTGATCCCAATTCCTTGCTCAACCTGGGGAAAATCAGCGTTTGATTTGCCTTGATGGCAATATCCCTSACAAATACCCAGAATCCAGGGAAACCCACACCTGGGAGGTGAAGGCAGAGAGCAGCAAGTGGTCACTCTTTTTTACCTTTTCTCTCTTTTTTTGGTTTGCCCTTATGGTGGCATTTCCCTCTCACGGCCCCACAGCCGCCCAGAAGCGAATCTCCTTCGGGACAACCCAGGAACGGAAAATGTTCCCGTATCACTAYGCCCCGGACAGGCTGGGCATCGAGATGCCAGCGGTGGGGAGAAACCCTCTCCTGGGGCCAGGCTGTTACCTGGGGCCGGAGGTGAGCTTTCCTCACAATTTGGGGCTCCTTGGCAGGGGAGCAATAGGGCCACACCTTCCCCAAACCCACTGCGGGGTGTCCCCACAACCACCTGGAGAAAGGAATTCCCTCTCTACTGAACCAAACCTCTGGAGAAAGGAATTCCCTCTCTTCCTAACCAAACCTCTGAAAGTGAGAAATTAAGGGGATTAATAGGAATAATATAAACTGATTGCAGAACATCCCCACAGTTACCTGGAAAAAGGAATTCCCTCCCTTCCCAGCCAGCCTTTGAGGCTTTGCAGAAGTGAGAAATTAGGGGAATTAATAGGAATAACATTTTTAGGAATGACATTTGCTGCTCAAGCACTCCTGTCCTGCAAACTCGCTGGAGGATTTCTCCACATTCACCTGGAAAAAGGAATTCCCTCTCTTCCTAATCARTCCTCTGAAGGAGTGAGAAATTAGGGGGATTAATAGGAATAACATAAAACCACTGCAGAACGTCCCCACAATTGCCTGGAAAAAGAAATTTCCTCCCTTCCCAACCAACCTTTGAGGCTCTGCAGGACTGACAAATTACAAGAATTAAACCTGCTGCAGAACATCCCCACAATTACCTGGAAAAAGGAATTCTCTGTCTTTCCAATCAATCCTCTGCAGGAGTGAGAAATTAGGGGATTTAATAGGAATAATTTTATTAGGAATGACATTTGCCACTCAAGCATTCCCGTCCTGCAAACCTGCTGCAGGATGTCCCCACATCCACCTGGAAAAAAATTCTCTCTCTTCCCAACCAATTCTGGTGTCTCTGCAGGAGTGAGAAATTAGGGGRATTAATAGGAATAACAKTTTTAGGAWTAACATTTGCTGCTCAGGTAATTCTGCCCTGCAARCAGCACCTTTAAAACATCACTGAAACACCTTTTGTTTTCAAATTGCAGACAAACATCCTCCAATCCTCCATAAGCACCAARCCCATGAGCACCCGGGGGTACGCGATGGGAGCCAGGACGGGCCCGCGCTTCCAGAAGAAGGCTCGGGTAAGGAGATGGCCAAAAAAGAGGAAAAAGCAGCAAAAATATCCCCCAGCGGGGCTGTGATACCAAACCAGCTGCTGCTGTGGAAATTTGAGAATATTTGGCACAAAATCCTCCATCCAGAGGTGTTTTTTGTCCCACTGCAGATGGTAGGACCTGGCCCTGCCACATACGAGCCCTTCCCGAGGGACCCGAGGAGTTACCAGCCTGCCCGCGTTCCCTTCTTCTCCAGCACCCCTCGATTCTCAACCAGGCCGACGCAAAACGAATTTTTCCCCGGGTAATTGTGCTAGTTTGAAAACAAACCAGAGGAGGAAAACCCCACAGAAATATGTTGCGAGAAA